CACAGCCTTCTCTATGTAAGACTCCCACTGGTGCTAGCACATATGAAGAGTATCTTTGAGTAAAATTCAAGCCACAGACAATGTGAAGAGTTGAACATCCAGTATATCCTCCAAAAACTGGCTTAAAACACAAGGTTCTGCTCCTGTGATGACCTCTCCACAGATCAGTCTGATGATATGAACCACACAGCCTTGTAAAAGTCCAAAGGATGAATCTTTGTGAGATTTGCCTCCTTTTCTGCGTTTTGGTAATGGTCTTTAGGTCTTTCTGGAGTGTTCCTGAAGTATGTATAAACTATAAATTTACAGAGGGAAGCATAGGATATTGCCAAGTATAATTAAAGTGGATTAAAGTAAAATCTTTATAGACTATGCTGACACACTTAAAGAAGTGTTCTCCAGTACCAGAAAAGTAAAAATCCCTTTGTTTCTGTCACTTCATTATAAATACTAATTCACAACTCAAAGTGATAGCAAAGTATGCATACTTCAGGACAAGGTGTTACTGGTTCTTAAAACCACCTTTCAGATAAAAGCATAATCATGTTTCAGCATGTTTCTTATCAGAAAGCCTTGCTCCAGAACTCAGAAATATTCTACAGGCTTGCATAGCACTTATAAAAACACAGCTTCTTGACATACACAATTGCTTTGTTGTCAAAGCAGTTTTATTACAGTGGTCACTTCCATACTGACAGTTTGCTGATCAGATCCTGATTCATTTTAGTGTGCCAAGATCAAAGCCAAAATGATTGACCAAGAAAAACATGATTTTTCTGAAATCAAGGGAAGATTCCTATGAAATGGAGAGAAGTGCAATGAATGCCAATGGAGAGCAAGTAACATTATTTTTATAATTCACTTCTATATTTTGTATCAAGATACGCTGCATTTTCTGATTCAAATTGCAGGTCTGTAAGCAATGTGAAATTCTGTAGGTGCTTTTTACACGTTGCAATTAAAACTTCATACAGTGTGTCCATTATATGTACTATATTCATTACGACTTTTGGTTCTAAGAGCCTACTGTACAAAATTTTGTTTCTGGTCTTAATTACATGCTTCAGAGGTCTGTACATATTACCTGCAAAACCAGAGGCTTCACTCATGTATTTATGGTGGTTGTTTTCTCCTTTTTTGCCCACACCGTCATCAGACCCAGAAGTAAGCTGCTCTGCAGGGGCAAACGCTAGGAGAATATGAACACGTCCCTGAAATGGGACAAAAGGGGAGCATCACTTAGGAACAATTTTGTTACAAGTTAGCATGGTGGGATGTACAAACATCAAAGCCATTCAACTTACCATAACCAGCTAATTAGAAAGAGCTCAGGCCTGGAAGCACATAGAAAAATACTAATGTGGGCAAAATGAGCAGAGAGGAAAGGAGAAATTAAAAGTTATTTGATATTAATGGAGTCTCTTTACACTCCTGCACCTTTGGTCTAATTCCTACACCTTCAGAAGATCTTCCTGATTTCCCCCTTAGTCACAGCCTCTTAGCACAGACTGGTGCACTTTTATTACCGGTCCAGTTCTTGTATTTCATTCTGGTCCCAGCAAACAGTTCCTCCAGCGGCTGTGATGTGCACTGCAGTCCTCTGCACTGTAGGAAAACCTGGGTGGAACTGCAATGGCAACTTCCTTACCTAACCCCCTGTTCTTTGGCCCATAAGGGAGCACAGCTGGGCATGCTTGACAGACACGCTTCTGCCCACATGAGCTTGTTTCAGATGTTTCTGTTACACGTACATTTTTCCTGTTCACTACCTTTTCGTGTCTATCTGCATTCATCAAAACAGATGTTGAAGCTGACACCAGTATAATGGGTTTTCTGGAATCTCTTGTTTTTTGCATCAATTTGGCCCGGTACAGTGTCCACAAACGCCTTATCTGCTACAGCTAGAGACCCTGCATGCTCCAGAAGTACCTAATTCCCAGAGCAGGGACAGAATGAAACCACTTTCTGATAGATGGTACAGCAAGCTCTCTTCTTCATTCTTTTTGGTCCTTTTCCTTTCTGTCTACTGGAGGCCATTATGTGCCTTACGACACTCCGTTTCTCTCTAGAGATGTAAGGCCAGGAAGCACGTTTCAAATGCAATTCCAAGACAATCATGTTTTAGCTGCTAATTCTCAACTGCTCGTCAACTGGTGCTCCTCTCCCTCTCTAGCCATTCACATCGTGTTGTTATGCCCACTGTCAAAAACATCATTTTGATGGTTATATAAAAAAATACTCAGACTTTCAATAGTCTAACACCCATGAAAAACAGTTCATTGCACGTTTATTGCTGTCACATCATAACAAACTGTCTTGTCCTCTTTTTTTTAAAGCAAAAAATCATTGAAAATTGATTCGTAGCCTTTCCTGTTCAGTGCTGCAGTAAAGGACAAGACAAATATAGGATAATACTAAAGATGAAACACCACCATATACCCTTTTTTACATAACTTGCTATAAAATTTAAAATGAAACTATGTAAACTTTTAGTCTCCACTACTAAGAAAAAGTCAGAAATATTTTTAAATAGCATCTACATTTAAAAAAATGCTTTCTATCAGCTAGATATGTGGCAGATTTTGCAACAGGAGTTTCATAGGTTGAATGTAAAAATGTAAGTTACCATTTGTGGCCTTTTATTATTCAGAAAACACATAACTATTTTGAGTAAGTTACTGTTGAGTATGTTACTGTAAGTTTTTTATTTAAAAAATTATTTTTTAATAATTCATCTTTGAAAACTAAGAGGTAGCAACATAAGTTTTCTTCAGCAACATACTGCAGAATAAGTTTTAATATCCACTTTAATATTCTTCGAAGTAAAGGCTTTCTATGCATCTGCTTTCTTAAATGTGTTCACAGAACATCTACAAATTGTAGAAATGGATCAGCACACAAATGTCTTCTATCCTAATGACATCCCAACATTGATAGTGTACACTTGTATGAAATAAAATGCTAGATGTTTATTATTTCTGCTACTGTAAATAAAATGAGTAGTTTTCAGTCCTTTTGTTCTAAATGAGAAAAAACAGCCTGACAACAATAAAAATCTCAGCTATCAAAAATTAAGCCTCTTTTCTCTACCAAAGCCTTTTAGGAACATATGCTATCACAGTATAATGAAAGCTAAAGCAGAGTTATGCTTTCAGTATGCATCATACAATCCATGAAGCATTTAAATGCATAAGGTCATATCAAAGCAGTATATTCATTCTTCTATAAAGCGACTAGATCTAAAGGAAAGGGAAAAGTGAAGTCAAGGTAAATATCTCTACAAATAAAATAAATAGACCTGACCAATTTATTCATTAAACTCACAATTTAAAAATAGCAATCTCCTGAACAGACTACTGGACAAGCTGCAGTATTCTGTCTAGATTTTTCATAAAGCTTAACAAATATAAATTCCAACCTGAATTTTTTAGCTTGAATTTGGTACCACTTATGCAAGTTCTCTATGTTACCTGATCTATTATCAAACTTCTGTTGCTTATGTATATTCAAGGCTGTGATCAGGCCAGATCTGTTAAGCAGACTGCAGTCCTCTAAGATTTATTTTCCAGTCTTTCTTATGACTCTTTACCCCCTTCTCCACTTTTTCTGATCTTTCTTGAATTGCTGACACTAAACAACACACACATCTGACTAAATGTACCAGTACCAAATAAAAGTAAACATGTAGTAAACTACATTTTATATGCACACATTTTTTAAAAAATGTTCTCTGAGCCACAAAAATTCTGTGCTATTTTTACTATTGAAGCATATATTTAGGTTTCCTACCCCTGAAGCCTATTAAAATCCTTTTCCTAGAGGCCTTTCTATAAGAGAGCTTCTTGTCCTCTTCTGCTCCTCTGACCAGTCCTCTGAAGTCTGATTTTCGGTACGGATGTATCATTTTACATTTTGCTTATATGAAAATCAGTGGCACAACAACCTATAATGGAAGAAACTCAAGAGTCTGATTTTGAGACTATGAAGAAGGTAAGTCATCAATACCTTGCCTTTCTGTATATATAAAACATGCATATATACACACATATGCATGTTGAGAAGTACACATTAGCATTTATGTAAGCATTACAGATGATTTGCTCTTTACACATAGAAGAATGCTTTAACAAATAGTAGAAACAGTAAGATTCCAGGTGTACTCTTCCCTAGTGTTACAGCTTCGAGTATTTGTTACATACTACAATCAAAACCCAGTCTGGTTTCAGAAATGTTTAGACAAGGATTTACCAGTTATCTGCTGTATTAAGTGGGCTGGGAATATCCTTTTCACAGTCTACATAGGTCAGCTCCCCTCCATCACTGCACTCCCTTTTGAAAACATTAATATATTTAAGTGAAAAGCCATCAACTAAGATACAAAGCTAAGCCTCCAAACTTTACTCTGAGTAAAGCCCCAGTGCTTCTTCCTCAACTTCTGAGCACTGAACAAGTTCCCTAGAGAAGCTGTGCTGCCTCCATCCCTGGAAGATACTCAAAAGCCATCTGGACACGGTCCTGTGCAGCCAGCTCTGGGTGACCACGCTTCAGCAGGGGAGCTGGACAAGATGACCTCCAGAGGTCCCTTCCAACCTCAACTATTCAGTGATTGTATACTGCGTTTGTTTGTAAAGCTGATTTTTCCCAGCATCTAAGAAGATTTTACTTTAGTGATTAATAAATCAAGAAACAACTTACTGCAATTATTCACAAACAAAATCAAGTGTTTATTTACTATTTACAAGTATAAACACATTAATACTACAAGTACTCTGTCATGTTCTTCATTATCATGGCACCTTAGACAGGTATAACATACTATGCAAAGTAAGATGCCTTAGTTTTACTAGTCACTTGTGCAGTCACTGCCACTGTTTAACCAAAACAAATATGGCACACACTGCAAGTGATACTTTTCCATAGTTCCACAAATCTTTAGTACTAAAAGCAACTGTACACTGGATTTTTATATTTTTGGTCAACCAGATACAAGATTCTATTACTTTTATCAAAGGCTTAGTAGTTTATTTGGTCACAAGTCACAATGGTCTTCTCACTTCAGTATTTTACAGCATCAACAACTTCAGGCTTTGCAGAGAACACTTCTTTCCCCCTGTCAAGTCAATCGGGGAGCCATTGCCAGCAGATACTGCCAGTGATCTGAATTCCATCATTTCAGTTGCAAGACAACCTTCAAAAAGAAGAAAATTAATGAGATTAAAGCTGGATGAGACCAAAACTTAGACAGTCTAGGGAATAAATCCTGTACTTGCTAAATGTTATGAAGCAACTTGAAGTTGCTAACTTCTAGAACATGTTGACACAACATTTTTACTTCCATCCTGCAAGATGTCAGAGAATTCTGTCTCCCAGGTAACAGAATAAATATCTGAAGACATTTTCATAGTAAAAAAAAAACCCCACCAAACAACAACAAAAAACCCATTTTCCTTTATAACAAAGCCAGAATTAATCCTGAAAGATAATTGAACAAGGGGGGACTCCACGATTTGCAGTTATCACCAGGGCGTAAGTCAAATTACACTCCTACCCCTAATTATTTTCCTTAAAATCCTTACTTCCCTTAAAAATCTGAGACACTCCAAACAAAGTTTCACTTGAAATTTTCTTCTTGGATTACTCTGTTGGAATCTTTGTTGCTTTCTGGCTGATTTGCTAAGCCGTGGAAATTAAAGCACTCAGTTTGAACTAAACAACTCTCCCATATGGATTTGCAGCCACTGACACTTTGTGAAGCTGTGAGAACACTGAAGTTCTCTCCAGTCTTTCAAAATCAACTCTCACTTGACACTTTGCCATTTCATTTGCTTTTCCTCCTATTCTCACAAGACTTTTTAATGGTGCTCTGAACAGATTATCATGCTTATCAGGATTCTAATAGCATTTTTAAAAAAATTCTAGACTAAACTGTGCTAAAAATACCCTGAAGACTATCCAAGATACCCTGCCTTATGTAAGGCTTTCTATAACTCTATAGTCATTTTGTCAATGGATGAATGACTTGGAGTGTTCAGCAAGATACCCAGGACAATCAATTTCAGTTAAAATAAACTAAGTGCATGAGAAGTCAGGAACAAAGGATGATATCAGTAAAAGATACCTTATTAGCAGCTTCCAGTGCATTTATTAGGTTCTGCAACTCTTCCTTATTCATCTCTATAGAAATTGGTTTAATTTCACCATTTTCTCTCACATCCAAATCAAGATTGAGAAGTGGCATTTGCAGCATGGAGATCTTGTCACTGGAGAGAGCAAGCTATACAGGTTGATGAAACAACAACAAAATGTGAGGTGGAGCCATTAAGTTTTTGGTCTTTCAGAGCATCATAACTGCACCTTATATTGAAAGTGTACTACTAGAACAAACATCAACATGACAAAATTAACTTATAACAAGTCATCTCTGCAGCTTCTGGTTTTGCCTTTTTTTTTTTTTCCCCTGTTGTTGAGAATTTTGTCTGTTAATACCAACAATATACTGAAATACTAAAACCCTTCTTCATAGCAAGACATTTGTCAAAACAATTTGTTAAAATTACTGGGCTGCTACACTTTTGTATTATAGGTGAAAACAAAGGATACAATTGATCATGGCTCTTTAAAAGTGAAGTAGATGAATTCTGAAGTCACTGTATTCAAATAGTTCTGACCTTCAGAGGTCTCTTCCAACCTCAACCATTCTGTGATTCTGTATTACAGAAGGGGGTAGTTGGGAGAAAGACGACACCTTTGTGCATTTTTCAACTCTCTGTACAGCTGATGACACACCATTTGTCAGATATCCTATTTGACAAACACCGATGAAGAGGATTACATACTCTTGTGTAAGAAAGAATTGTGCTTTCTTTTTTGTTTACTATTATACTCAGTCTAGTACAAATAAGGCTTATAAAATATATTAAATTCAAAGATCAGTTGATAATACTGTAAGTCAGTATATTATATTATATTATATTTCTTTAGTGGTACAATAGAGAAGAATGTCCTTGCTAGGATTCAACTATGGTAAGCGAAAAAAAAATCACAACTAGCTCAAGAAAAAAAGAAGTGTGGTTTAAAAAAAAAATAATACAATAGTTTAGACATGTACCAGAAATTTGTATCACAAAATAGAAACTCAAAAAATCCTCCAGAAGAAAAAGTTAAAAGAAACCACAATCAAAAAAACAAGAGTTCACATAAGTCTATATTCATGTCAGCAGTAAATCAGTTAGCAAGATAATCAATCCCTAGTAACGGTACATCTGAAGCACAATACGATTCCAAATTTGCTCTTGCAAAATCTTGTCTATTGTGGGCATTGCTCTTTGATTTCCAAAGCCATTTGCTGCACAAATTATTTAACACTCTTGTTGAAACGGAGAACTATTTAACAGCTCTGCAAATCTGTTTAACAGCTCCCATGGACTAACTAAACAGCATTACTTATACTGTTTCTATTTCAAGTCTTTGATAGAGCTTAATCTAAAGCAGCTGTCTTCATAACACCAAAGCACCATCCAACTTTAGGCAACACAGTTATCATTGGCTTATTATCAAAATAAGCCTAAAGATAAATTATTTCAAACTGGTTATTAAGTAATTCTTCATTGCAGGAATCTAAAAATTTGAAGAAAGTCAGGGAAACATCCTGAATCAGTGTACTACTCTTCAAATTAAGTAAATATTTCTTCTTCCTTTGAGTAAAAATACTGCCTACTCAGGTCCCAAAAATCATAACAGCATACAAAGCTTTCAGGTGTTTGTTACTGCATAACACTCAATCTCCTTTTAGGAAAGAGGTATTGCAGCTTTCAAAGAGAGGGGGGGCGGGGGGGGGGGAACCAAAACCAAAACCAACACTTTTACAGTTTACACAAATTTCTGGCAAGTCTTTGATGTGTTACCATGAATGTGCTTTTTTGACACCTATAAAAATTGAACCACGTTCCAAAATGAGCGGGCCTAGGGGGCCTATATCAATAGTTACTTCTGTGTTGTAGAACATTTCTTTCCAAGAACATTAAGGCAACACTCTCACCTTTAACTGCCAGTCAAAATCCTGCAGCTGGGCAGAAGAGATTGCATTTACTCTTTCCACTAGCGCATTCCTGATTTCTTCCTTTCTGCCTTTCAGACACTTTGTGATTGCTTCTTGATAATTTGAATTCAACTGATTTATCTGCTGAGCAGCCTACAAAAATAAAAATTAAAACTGTGATTGCTTAAACTACGAACCACAGAAATAACATGCACCACCTGTAATAGCCGTGCTCTGTAGATATCCAAGCTGCCACCCAGATAGTTGTTACACTGGACTCCTTAATTTCATCTTTCTTGTACTGCCCTCAATGGCTGCTCTCTGTGTTTCATAGTTAGAGTCAGTATTTACCACAACAGTGTTAAAGAAAAAATATTTTTCTTGTCATTTAAATTAAAAGAGACCAGAGAATGAAGTCTTTATCAGCCTTCTTAGACATCACCCTAAAATCAGAACAAAAATCACACACACAAATAACACAGGTTTAGCTCTGAAAGTTTCTGAACATCAAAGTGGAAACAAAATACATTAGCTTAGCTGAAACATATTGATGTACATACTTTCCTATGGCTACACAAGTATCTTTCTTTGATCTAGCTACTAGCAGGAAAACAAAATATGAGCACTGTGTGAAAGATGAGAATTAAGATTTCTGATAATAGAACAAGTTTTTGCAACGTTTATACATATTGGAATGCCCTGAATTACAGTCCCTGTCCTACACAGTCGTCCATTCATAGTCTAGATTTTATTTTGGATTTACACACAGTTAATATTTTAAAACACTTCAATGCAGTAGCAATAAAAAAAATAAAGCCAAGAGTGTGAATTGTTTTTATTGCTAATGAACAGTAATGACAGGAAAACTGATTTAATTTGGTGGTACTTAAGATAATCAATTTAAGTGACTAATATTTTAACAAGTACTATCCAATATTACTTTAAAAAAAAAGCGTCAATTTCACTTTTTCTTTTAAAAGTCTTCACAGTGTATCTCTTAATGCTCCTCACCTTCGACCTATTTAGGCTTAGTCTGCTACTATTCAAACGCTATGCTATAAAAATACTTTAGGACTAAAACTACAAGACTAATCACCCCAGTACAATCGCTCAAAGTCAAGTCCAATCCGTGATGAGTCCTTACCTCCTCGTCAGATATGTTTTTGCCAACAGCAGTTTTGAAATACGTCACTGTTTCTTCTAAAACCTCCATCCACTCCGACAAGCTCCAAACACTGCCATAATCCTGGTATCGAGGATACGCACGGCCACATATGCCATCAACTATTTTATGAAGGAACTGAAACAATGTGATACATAACTTAAGAACATTATTCTATCAGTTAATCTACACCAGATATGAGACTGATTAGGCAATACAATCATCACCCCTCCCTCCCTTCACTGGGTTCTGTCTCAATGCTTCCTCCAAGTGCAGCCCAGGCACTATTCTAAAAGGTCATAAGGAGATAGTTCCTGAAAATGAACTGTCCTCCCCTCTCCCTCAAAGTCAATTCACAGGATTTGGCCACACGAATCACAACGTGATTCAGATTTGCCTTGGACTTACACTTGGACTTTAT